GTGGAAAGGCGATCTGGTACATCGCAGTGTCAAACTATGCCTGTAACATGAACGTGTGTCTGTCCATCTGTCTGTGTCGTCGTCCCCGTCCCCCCCCCCAAAGTTTGCCCACCTGAGCCAAAAGAAACGGCGCAGCGAAAAGTGCTGGATTTCTGCGAATCTTGAAAATTTCCGATCAAGATCAGTCGGTGGTCTGTTTGCTGTCCCATGTCCCGTGTTCCGAGCTGATGGGGACCAAAGTGCTTTAGAGGAGGCGTAAATCCCTACCCTGCTTCGGGGGAGTGGCGGGGTGTCTCGGGGAGGAGGAGGAGTCCCCATCCCTGGGGGTGTTTAAAAGCCAGGCAGACCTGGCGTTTAGGGACAGGGTTTAGTGGTGGGATGGGAGCGTAAGGTTAATGGTTGGGCTCGATGATTTTAAAGGTCTCTTCCGAACTAAATGATTCAATGATTCTATAAGATGCTCTGGGACGGGCGATAAGCGGTGCTCGAATTTTTCATGTGATGGACCAAGCGCTTGGGCCACCGGTCTTGGCAGAGTCACCGTGATCTGTCACAGTGCCTGCCTGTAGGGGACCTTAGTCCGTGTGGCTAATTAGCTTTATTTTTGTGGGGAATTTCGATCGTTAGGCGAGTTCCACAGTCCCAGCCCTTCAGTGGTTTATTTTAATCGGTCGGGGAGTTCAGTAAGCGGCCCCGAGGTTCCTCGCCAGCTACGAGGAGGCCTCCCTTCCCCTCTCCCCCCGGGTCTCTGCCATGCTTCGGCTGCCCCGGCATTTGGGGAATGACGTGTCCCTCTCGCTGGCTTCCCCTAGGCTGTCTACAAGGCCTGGCTGTGCTCCGAGTATTTCAACGTGACCCAACAACAGTGCCGACACCGGATCCCATGCAAGCAATACTGCCTGGAGGTGCAGACCAGGTGCCCGTTTGTGTTACCGGACAATGACGAGCTGATCTATGGAGGTTTGCCTGGCTTCATCTGTACGGGTAAGGAGGTCCGGGGAGCGGGGCCGGGCTCCCGCACACCCTGGGGGGACGGGGTAGGGGTGGGTGCTGATGAGCCCCGTCGCGCTTTGCAAGCCGTGCACCAGATTTTGGAGGCTTTTGGGGGCAGAGGGGGAGGAGGTACAGCGTGGAAACACGTGGAGCGCTGCCTGACTGCCGAAACGTGGCCATCTGGGGGTGAGGTGTGAGCAGTTGACGGAGATGGGGCAACAGCCCCGCAGCTTAGCGCAGGGAATGAGAGCTCTAACCGAAAGCGAAGGCAAGCGTGTAAGGGGCTGGAGGTGACGGGATGGAAGCAGGGTCAGGAGATTTAGCTGCTACGAGCAGCGTTTGGGAGTCCCGAACATGTCCCAGGGCTGTGGTCTCTGCCTGCCCCACTGGGGGATGGTCCTGGGGGGTCTCTGGGTTCTCGGGCTCTGCTCGTCGCATGGCTGGCAGGCACCAGGGCTCGGTCCCACTGCAGCCCCGTCCGCAGTGGTCTCCCACTGACCCCCTCCTCTTCCTCCGCTCCCTTCCCGCAGGGCTGCTGGAGAACCAGCTGCCCGAGGAGGAGGCCAAGTGCTGCGAGGTGCAATGGGACTCCTGCGACCACCCCCCAGACAGCAACGACAACACATCCCCCAAATCCACGGCGTCAGAGTCGCTCCATTTCCACCGCCACGATCCCCACCTCCATCACCAACGGCAGAACCACTACCACCTCTACCACCACCACCACCACCACCAGTACCACCAGCCCCACTCCCCATCCTTGCTGCCGGTCTCCGCAGGGTCTCGCCTCGGCAGCAGCAGGATCAGGCTGTGCGTGCTGGTCCTGATGCTTCTCCACACCATGGTGTCCTTCTCCAGCGTGCACGGCGGCAGCGGGGCGGCCGGCGGAGGGCTCAGCCTGGAGGCCCTGCCCGCCCTGGAGGAGAGCGTGGCACGGGATGAGTGATGCGGAGGGGAAAGCCGACCTCCAAGAAGAACGCCAGATCTTTTTCCACGAAGGGGGGCACATGCTATTCCTCCAATGGGGGGCACGGGATTGGGGGTGACGCACACACACACACCCCCGCACATACCCCCAAGAGCTGCTCGCCGCGGGGCATCCCCGTGATGAAGAGTCTCTAATGCGCACAGGGCTGCGGGACTCGGCTTTGAGAAGGGTTCGGTCAGCAGCAGCCGGGCGGCG